TATAGATAATGGATGGACTGTATTGGAAATATATTACCTGATCTGAGGACTGCCTGGAGGAGATTTAGAAAATGGTAAACTGAACACATAAAAGGCCGTGACAAGATATGTAATTTATTTTTGGTTTGCAATAAAAATAAAATTTAAAAAAAAAAAGAGAAATGCCAAAGATGTGTCTGAGGTCGGTAGTGTCAAACATCTCCAATGTGTCACAATTCTTAATAACATAGAATTAATCCCGTGTCTATATGGCTACTGTTGTCCTTTGTGCTGGATTACAAACCTTCCCCCACTGTCCTGCTGATAGCCGGAAACAAGTTTTCTGTTTTGATTGTACCAACTGTGACTGGGTCCTATCAGGTTTGACAACCTGAAGTGATACACCCAGTGTAAGGTATGCACTCATGACTGCTGCCCAGCTGGGGAGATCTATTAGTCTGGAAATTATGCTGGATGATTTATTTACAGAGGAATGAGAGAAAAAAAACCCCCAAAAAACACTTTTTAAATATAGAAAATACTGAAAGTAAACAAGTAAAATCCATACTTGCAGGGGGAGTTTCTACTGAGAACAATGAGATCCACGTAATATCTTCTCAACAACTTGGGTGAGGTCAGTGTAATTTGTTTCCAGATTATAGTAACAGATCACATAGACATAAATATATAACACTACAATAAAAATAAAATAAAAAAAACAGTAACTAAATGAAATATAAAACTTAGTAAGGAGACACATTCAGGGTCCTTGCTGCAGTGGGAAATTATAGAATTATATTGAGTAAAGGGTAAATGTATGAAGTCAAGGCTGACTAATATTATCTCAGTTTAAATCTTTATTTTACTTTCTTTAAACAAGGGACAATCTTAATCAACATACCAACAAATGTAGACGTACCTGAGTTATTAGTCCATGTGCCTGATGTTATTAAACATTATAGCACAACACGTACAATCGTTCAATCAACCTACATTCTAATAAAAGCATATATAACACAGATGAAACACATATACAGCTTATAAAATTCAGCCAAATACAGAATAATATCCTCAAAGACGTAAATATATTATGAGTATAAGCTTCTTAAAGGTGGAAGAAACAACATCATTATCAATACTGTTGGTTCTCGATAAGCCCTTTATTAAAAACAACAACAACAACAACAACAAAAAACAGATTAATAACAGGATGAGGACTGTCTCATTTATTGTGGTATTGAATTCCACTGATGTGATGCTTCATTTACGTGGCTCAGTATCTATGTGGATCATTTATGAGGTTGGGTCACTGCTTCCATGACACAGTTTGTCCAACACATTTTTCATTCAACGTCCCTCCCACCACGTACTTTACCGACGCTTTTTAACATCAAACTTGTACCAACTATTCCATCATCTTGTGCATTTTAATAAAAACAACCAGAACAATATACTATCATATCTATATTAGGCTATATAAGGATTTTTCTACCAATATTTGTCTAAAATTCTTGTGCTGGCCTCAAAAAATATCTGCTGTAAGTTAATAATCTGTATGACGACAGACACAAGAGTGTCCACACTACGACTTATAAATGCAGAGTTGAAAATACATTTTAATATTCTGTATTAAACTGAGAGAATCACTGTGAAATTTGTGAGATTTGTTTGTGGGTGTTGTTTATTTGAATTTATTTTAGAAGTGTGCTACTACCATGGCAACTTTTTCTGTCATGAGGTTATTTATTAAAAACTGTCTTTGGTGGGTAGTTTTCATTAAATAGTCGGAGCTGATTTTTGTTTTGAGAGTGGTGCTGATTCGGGCACGAGTAGGATTGAAACCATTCATTAATTATTAAACGAGGAAACTTCTTGAAATCAGTAGATTAGTTTCTGCCTTTTACAATGACGGTGGGAAATGGTTACTGCAACAGATAATGTAAGGTCTGATTAGTCATTTACCAAATAAAACCAGCTGAATCACTTCCTCATGGGATAAGCTTTGGTCAAGCTGTTTACATGTGTGGCAGTGCTCAGAGACCAGAGTGGAACCAAAAGTCTGATAAATCAATTGCAACTCATGGTCTACTCTGTTAACCTGCTGCCTCCAACTGAAGATTTAACCCAACACAAATAAAAAGTTTTTTTTAATTTTTTTATCTTAATTAAATATGTTTGCCAACCTGAGCATCTGTGGGACTTTTTTCTGACATACAACAGCACACCGGTATCAGCATGACACATGACTTTTGTTTTGAAGTACCTGCGTAAATGAATGCATCACAAGACAGGGTTTGAGCCCAGCAATGTATGCTGAGGGCAAGGTGAATACACCCTGCTCTCCCTCACCTCCATTCTCATACTTTACATTTTGCATGGTGTGTTCATTGTGAAGGTTTCTGGCTTAGCCGCCTTCACACAAATAATTCATTATCATATACACACTGCTGCCATTGTGTCAGTAGCAAAACAACTCCTTCAGTTCGTCACCAACCTGTTTGCTTTGTAATCCATTCGACTGTAGCAGAATAATCTCATAAGCTTAAAATTTTGCGGCTAGACAAAGCAGTTTGCTACCCCACGGTGACCCATGTGGAAGGAATGATCATCCTTCAAATGTGCAGAGTTCAGTATCGTTAACGTCATTTTTCACATCTGTCAGTCCCCTTATAAAAACGGTGACAAACTCGTAGGTTGAGTTAGTTTGCACATCTAAGAAGACAACGCAGAGACAAGAGCGAGCAGCTTTAATTTCAACTATAGAAATAAGATCCAGACGTTTTGTAAGTAGAGTGCTTTTCTTTTCTGTCTTATGGTGTCAACATTTCTGTGTTCAAAGTGCCTTATTCAGTTTTATGGGAGTTTTTTTGTTGTTTTTTTTTTTTTACAAAACATTTTTAAAGTCTTTTTTTTCTTCAAAACTCTCTAATAGACTTTAATTTGTATGTTAAGTGGAAAAACTGTTCTGCTTGAGCAAGTTTTAAGAAACTTATTTTCCGTTTTTCTCTCAGATGCGACAGACATTAAAAATGCTTCTGATCGTTCTGATACAGCTGCTGCTGATTGGTGAGTAAAACATGTTTGTCTTTTTTTTTTTTTTTTACAGTGTGTTGGAATCATTTGTCTGCTTTTATACTGATGTTTTATTTATTGATTAACAGCATCAGCGAATGCCCAGACAACAACTGTTGCAACCACCACAACTGCTGCTGCGACTACGACTGTTGCCGGTGCGACGACAACTGTTGCTGGTGCGACGACAACTGTTGCTGGTGCGACTACAACTGTTGCTGGTGCGACTACAACCGTTGCCGGTGTGACTACAACCGCTGCTGCGACCACGACTGTCTCTGGTGCCACTACGACGACAGTTGCAACGACAAACTCAACGACGACAAACAGCACTACAACTAGCACAGCTGCCACTACACATGCCGGGGTCACTTACATGGGCAGTCTGGCCTTGTGCCACCTCGGTGTCCTAGTCTATAAGTTCTTCCTTAGTGTGTAATTTTTTGTGTTGCCTTTGTCTCTTTTTGTAGAATGCTGTCTTCGTTTGTCATGTAAAGACACAGTGTATCGTCCTTGTTTGAATATGTAACCAAATAATCATGTCATGAAGCACAAGAGTTGATAGGTTTGAAAATCTAGATGATACAAAGTGTTAAAATGTGCTAATAAAGGTCTGGTAAAACTCAAACAGTTTGGCTCTTCTGATTGTCATTAACTTTAAAGTTATTATCATGAATAATTAGCTGCTTTTTGTGGCTCTTCCTACCAAGTTGACCAGTTCAATGGCATTTTCACTTATCACCCACGTTAACTACACTAAAATTATAGCAACGTTTACAGATTTTGCAGGAATATTAGGTTAGTCAATCCTTAAACCCAGCATATAACAGACAGTCTTACTTGAAATAATTCAGAAAAAGTGTTTAATATATAATCTACATCCATCTACCATCCATAAAATGACAAAACAAACAAAAACAAAAAGACTTTGTGGATGGAATAAAGCCCATTCTTACCACCAGGCCACCATCTAACGCAGATCTGAGTTAAAACGAGATATTTTCTGTAGACTATTAAGTTTTCCAAATGTTGTCTTGTAATGTCTTTTTTTTTTTTTAAGGAAGTGAGAACAGGTTCTGATTGATGGCCCTAACAATACCCTGGGTGTGTCACAATAAATCAAAATAACTTGTTGAGACCAACTATTTGCCAAAGTGATAAAAAAAACAGTTCACGCCCACATCAAAAGAACGCCTTAAGAAAATCCTATTTGTTTTGTGTCGCCTCCTGTTTCTCAAAATAAACCACAGCCCTATTATGAACCACATTCTGTGTTTGACATGACCATGAAGTGATAACCAGTCAGTTATGAATTGGTTTTGTACATGCCAGCACACAAGAGACTGTTTCCTCAAACACATAAACACAGGCGTACTGTGTGACTTGGTGGCGGAAGCTGTGAGACGCATACAAGACAAGACCACAAGGTCAGCCCACAATGCAGAAGCTGCTCTCAGGCCTTCGTTATGTTTGATGAAGCTGTCCTTCACATGTTTGAGTTGTCAGACATTGACGTCACCAGAGTAAGAATGGTTTCTTGCACTTTATAAGGATGACAGGTCAACATGCCTTTCCTATTTGTTCCTATGAAGGCAACTTTGATTCCAAACATACACTATGAACTCTAGAGAACAAGTTAGAAGTTAAAGGATCAGAAGTCACAAGGCGTTCACGTGAGACTCCACAGTAAAACAAGTGTGAAAGGGTGTGACGCTTAAGGCTACATTGGATACATTGTGCAAGGACAATGTTAATGATCAAGAACAGAAATTAAAAGGGCTTATGTTAAAGGGCAATTCCACTGATTTTACATATCAATTTGTTGAAGGATAGGGCTGCAAGGTGGCTCGGCGGTTAGCACTGTTGCCTCGCAGCTAGAAAGTCGCCGGTTGATTGGTGATTCTAAAATTGTCCGTAGGTGTGAATGTGAGTGTGCTTGCTTGTCGGTCTCTAAGTGTGGCCCTGTGATAGACTGGCGACCTGTCCAGGGTGTCCCCTGCCTTTATCTTAAGTCGACTGGGATAGGCTCCAGCCCCCTGCCACCCTAGTGAGGATTAAGCAGTGTATAGATAATGGATGGATGGATGGATGGATGGATGGATGGATGGATGGATGGGTGGACGGATGGAATTTGTTAAAGGTCTTAGCAAGTACAACTGCATTTGAGGAGGAAGTTGTAGCCTATAACGCCTCTTGTGGTTCTGGAGCAAAGTGGGCGAAATTTGATACCTGGTTGGCGTTTAAGACTTGAAAATGTGAAAACAAAAAACTGTGGGTGTGTAGTTAGAAAAAGATGGTTATACCAGGCCTCAGCAGTCTACTGTTCAACTCTGGTCGAGACAAGAAGCTCAGAGCTGCACTGGCTACTATGAACACAAGCAAATCTCTGACCAAACTGGCTGCAGGTATGTAGCATTGTCGGCAATGTAGCACCAGATTCTGATCATGAAGAATGATGCATAAAATTTTTAAAACACCTCGCAGAGTATCACATCTACAGTCATGAACAAAACTTTCCATACACTAGTAAAGACAACATACAGTTGAAACCAGAAGTTTACATACACTGTATAAAAAGACACATAACCTTTTTTTTCTCACTGTCTGACATTAAATCAGACTAAACTTCTCCTGTTTTAGGTCAGTTAGATTACCAAAATTATTTCTATTTGCTAAACGCCAGAGTAATGAGAGAGAGAATTTCTTTTTACTACTTTCTTCAAAGTCAGAAGTTTACATACATTTCCTCAGTATTTTTAAACTGTATGACTTGGATCAAATGTTTTGGGTTTCCTTCCACAAGCTTCTCATAATAGCTTGCTTGAATGCTGGCCCATTCCTCCTGACAGAACTGGTGTATTTTGAATTTTGAGTCAGGTTTGTTGGCCGCCTTGCTCCACACACCTTTTAAGCTCTGCCCAAAAATCTTCTACAAGATTGAAATTAGGTCTTTGTGATGGCCACTCCAAAACATTGACTTTGTTGTCTTTAAGCCACTTTGTCCAATTTAGTGGAATGCTTAGGGTCATTGTCCATTTGAAAGACCCAAGCTTTAACTTTCTGGCTGAAGTCGAGACGTTGCTTCAATTTCTGTCTGTGAAGATTATCAATCATCCAGGTCATGGTTATTCTCATAGTTTAATTGTAGCAACTGGACTTGCTTGTGTTTCTTGAAGACATTTCACCTCTCATCCAAGAGGCTTCATCAGTTCTGACTGACTGATTGGGAGTTCAAGATACTTGTATTCTTTAGGAGCCATGGACACTTGAGTTTCTTTTTCAGCTGGGGGTTTGTTGCTCCTCCCCCTCATTATGCAAGTCAGTAGGACTCCCCCTGCCACAATGGGGTTTGTTACCTAACAAGGGGAGAAAACTCAAGTGTGAATGGCTCCTTAAGGATATAAGCATCCGGAACTCCTAACTAGTCAGTCAGAACTGATGAAGCCTTTTGGATGAGAAGTGAAATGTCTTCAAGAAACTCAAGGAGGTCCAGTTGCTAGGAGATGTTGCTTCAATATTTCCACATAATGTTCTTTCCTCATGATGCCATCTATTTTGTGAAGTGCACCAGTCCCTCCTGCAGCAAAACATCCCCACAACATGATGCTGCCACCCCCGTACTTCACAGTTGTGATGGTGTTCTCAGGCTCGCAAGCTTCCCCCTTTTTCCTCCAAATGAAACGATGGTCATTATGGCCAGAGAGTTGAATTTCAGTTTCATCAGACCACAGGACATGTCCCCAAAAATGAAGGTCTTTGTCCCTGTGTGCATTTGCAAACTGTAATCTGGCATTTTTATGTTATCTTCAAGCTTCTGGCAGTCTTTTGATTGTATCTTTGGCCACTCTAGACAAAATGAATGCTGTTCAATAAAATTTGTGGGCTTTCTGGCTCAGACTAGGTTCTTCAGCACAGTCCACAGGTTACTGATGGGGAGGCCAGTCTAAAACCTTAATGCAAGCCTGGAATTAACCCTTTTTTGCTTTATTTTTAAAAATTATTATTATTACCACTTTTGATGTGTGTTGGGGGTCATTGTGTTGTTGGAACACTCAGCTGTATCCAAGACCCAACCTTCTGTCTGATGATTTAAGTTTTCCTGAAGACTGTAGCGGTAATCCTTATTCTTAATTATTCCATTTACTTTGTGTAAAGCACCAGTTCCACTGGCAGCAAAACAGCCCCAGAGCACAATACAACCACCTCCATGCTCAACAGTAGGTTTAGTGTTCTTGGAGTTGAAGGCGTCAACTTCTCTCCTCCAAACATATTTGTGGTCATTTTAGCCAAAAAGCTCTTTGTTTCATCTGACCACAGAAATTTCTTTCAGGAAGTCTTTTCTCTGTCCATCGGCAGCAAATGTCAGTCAAGCTTCAAAGTGTTGCTTCTGGAGGAAGATCTTCCTTCTTGCATGGTAGTCTCTCAGCTCATGGGAACGTGAAACACGCTTGACTGTGAACACTGAAACCTGTGTTCAAGCAGTTTCTAATTCATTGCAGACCTGCTTTATTGTGATTCCTGGTTGACTCTTGACCATCCTGACCGACAGCAGCATATGATAGCTTGTATTTTCTACATGATGGTGGCAGGGGCACAGCTATACCATGCACTTCGTACTTGACAAACATTTGTTTGTACAGAAGATTTTAAGATCTGTAACTGCTTTGAAATGGCTCCAAGGGATTTTCCACCTTTGTCTCTGATATATGCAGATTATCAAACAAATAAAAAAGCAACCAAAAAACCCATCCTGAAATCCCTATTACTTTTCAGCAGACAACACTCTAAAAATTAATTTAATGCGCCTATTCCCATCCATCCATCCATTATCTATACACTGCTTAATCCTCACTAGGGTATAGCGGGAAGCTGGAGTCTATCCCAGCTGACTTAGAGCGAAGGCAGGAGACACCCTGGACAGGTCACCAGTCTATCACAGGGCTACACTTAGAGACAGACAACCAAGCACACTCACATTTACTAAGGCACCTATTTCAACCACCTAATTAAACCTTTTAAGATGTAAACAATATTATGATGCATCAGGTTGACAGAAATAATGTTTATAATTGCATCAACCTAACATTGTGTGTTTTCACTTAAACTCAAATTTCTGTTATCAAAAAAATTAAAAATTCAAATTAAATTAAATTCAAGTTGATGTAACTTAATAATATTGGCATGGCAACTGCATTTTTCTTCACCTTGTGTTCAGGATTTGAAGTCCCTTCCACTGTCTTAACATGCCTGGACATTTCCAGAAGGTTAATTAAGGGTAATTAAAATACCTTTGACTGTGGAGGAATAGCAAATAACCTTGGTTGAACATAATTTCATTTGAAGTTGTTACAACTTAAAAAAGATTGATGCAAACTGTTGCATAATTATTATTTTGTTTAGCCTTTTACAGTACACAACAGTAGGTTTTCTCCCTAGTACTAAAAAAAAATCAATCTGTCCCCCAAACATACAATAGAAAATATGACATATGTCCTCCTTTTATGATCCTTTTATGAAGTCTTTTTTTCTTTTTTTAATTTCCCTTTAATTTTCAGTTCCTTTCATTTTATTATTGAAAACTTAAATGTGTGACATCCTCTCCCTGTCCTCTCAATTATACACATCATCTTTAGGTATTTGTCAAGATTAAGTAACAAACTTCTGGAGGAGGAAAACTCTCTTTGAGAAAAATGAATCAATCCAAGTCCCTTAGTAAAGGAACTGTATCTGTTTATCAAAAGTCATGTGACCATAGAGCTGCACAGACCACCTGAACTTACACCATCTAACCACAAGGGAGAGCTGTTCACCATATTTATGGACTTGTAGAATCAACTTGACATGACGCAAATAATGAAGTGAAGTATCCTAAACATGCCTTCTGTGTTACACCTTGTTTAAAGTTTGATATTTTTTTTCTTTAGTTACACTACAGACTAGATCCTGTAAAGTACAGAGCAAATATATGTTTTCACACTTGTTCATAAATTTACTGAAAGTCCAAATCAAATGTCACATTTATTCAAATATACAGTTTTTAGTGTTTAGTCCTTCAAAACAGGATCTTGCTTTCTGAAACTACTGTCTCTAGAATAAGAGAGAAACCTTATATTAATGTCATTTTTCCTCAAATGGTCTTCATAATCAGAGGCATGAAAAAAGAAAGATATATTTTGACAATGTATGCAAAGAAAAACACTGAAATCGTTCCAAAAACTTGGAAATTTTATTTACAGTTCAAGTCAGTCACATGCAACATTTTCTTAAAATGAATAAACATGAAATTAGCAAAAACAAGAAAAGAAAAAAAAATGCATATTATTTTCTTCAAAATAGCAATATACAAAAATAGAGCTTACAAATACTGTACAGCAATTGTCTCCAAAAATATTCTGCTGCAGAATTCTTAGTTTTACAAACAATGTCTGTGAGAGTCCACAAACATAATCAGTGTTAACAAAAAGGGGCTGTGAGGGCAGAGGGTGTGTTAAGGAACGCTGCTCGAGGGGTGGGAGGGTTTGTTTGGACAGAGAGGCGAAGTTATTTGTGAGTCGAAGGGCTACGGAGGGATAAATAACACACCATACAAACTAGAAGAAAGTTCACTTCAGGGAGGCAGTGATAGAGATTAAGAACCCTAACTGGTCTGGTCGCTAAAACCAACCATGGAAATATAATGAAACCCTCATCTACAAGGGGAAGTGTGCTAATTTTCTATTTTGTTCGTCACATTCTGTCAGAAGAATATCTGCCATCAAACATGGGACGATTGTAGAAATGATTTTTTCTGATGCCACCGTTCTTTTCGCTCTGAGCATCTTCAAAATCTGGATGCTAAACGGCGTTACTGACAGTCATATTTCATTTGATGGTGTCTTGTCTATTTATAGTGGCGCTCGCTCAGAAGCAACACTGACGTCAGTGGTGATTTCAGCAGTGGGAAGCCGTTTATTATTGTATTCATGACTGACTCAGTTTCCATTCACTTTTGGCCACAGCAACACAGAGACTCCCTCTTATCTCTTTTCTTTTTAAAAATGTAGAACCTTCTTTCATGTTGGCTGGGACTTTTTTTTTTTTTTTTTCATTCCACAACATTTCATCTTAGGTTGGCACTTCAGTCTTTAGTGGGATTAAGGACGGCACACGGGGAAAGAAACGGGGAAGTTCAGGTGGTTCAGGTTTACAATCAAACACAACACTTAAGATAGCCAAATGGCAGAAAGTGTGAGCTGCCATTTAGTTTATATTAAGGAGCATTTCTTGTGCACCTCATTTTTAAACACACTGCTAATGATACTACCGTCTACATACATTTAACAATGGTGATATTAGTAGCAATGTCACTATGCAAAACAGCATGCTTTCACATTGAATCTCCTCGGTAATCTTTTCTTTCTCTTGCGAACCGTACATTCAAAGACAAATTCGTTAGCAGGAACAAAGCTTTAAGACTCGTGTTATCAGCAGTGACCTACAAACTATGTTGTAGTTTGGGCAAAGTGGAAGAACTAATCTTCGACGTATAGTTTGTAAAGTTTGAGGGGATATTGACATGAAGGAGAATGCAGGTTCTCATACTGTAACATCAGCAGTGAGATACGAGTTCAATGAAACAGTCACAGCTTCTTCATGATCAAAGACTAAAGAGTGACAAGGTACAAAACGCTGTACATCACACGACATATCGAAGAAGGCCCTTGCTTATTTTGTTCAACATAAAATCCAAAACCTCCTCGTTAACAATTTTCTGATCACAAAGTCAATGAAGAGATTGTTTAACACAGCCCTATCTTTTTTGTAATTGTGGCAGTTTTTTTTTGTTCAAATAAGGCTAAAGTGGCCAATACGTTTCTTTAAATCTGAGTTGAAGTGTTAAATCTTATCGATGGAAGTACAGTGCTGCATTCATGTACAAGGAACTCGTTACGGACGAACCACCAGGTGACAACTGGCACACGGGAACAGAGAAACCCTGCTTTTGCTCTCATCTAACAGTTGACATTTTCACCTTGCTGCATTATTCTCTGACCTCACCCACAAAGGTCATCGCTGCGGCGCGTGGGCAGACATTCAGCAGAGATGAAACATTCAAACCACAGAGGTCACAGTAACAATGCTTTTCTGCCACTGAAGGTGAAAGGCATTGTCGCTTTTTAAAATTGTGCTGCTCTGCTAATGAGAGAGAGAGAGAGAGAGAGAGAGAGAGAGAGAGAGAGAGAGAGAAAAAAAAGGATCTCATTGGGAACTGAGTGGCATTAAAGGCACAATCAGCAATTTGGAAGTGAGTTATTTGAAAACTGGATATGGAAATTTGAATTTTGTAAGTTTCTCCACAAATCAGTTTGAGTTTATTTACTTGTTTATTTTTTATCAGTAATGTTTGTAAATATTAAACAATGACACAAGCCTTTCACAGCACCAGAAAACACTGCATATGTAGATGTTAATTTAGTCTAATTTGTTTCATTCCGACAGTCCTGATTGCCGGTCTTACTGTTTTAATAGAGGGATACTTTTCTGTTCACCCTTGAATCACAGAATGTGGCTTTAGAGGTTATTTAGACCCCTTCATTCACAATACACTTCACAGTTAAAAGACATTCTCCAAATTCTCTGAGGTGCATCTCTGAAGCGAAGCAGATTTTTGACCCACCTTTAAAAATGAGCATGTCTACCCACAACGAGTTTATGAAACGCAGCTAACAAGAGATGAGGACGAAAAATGCCTACAAAAGCAGGGCTCAGAGTGAATGTATGTGTGGCACAAAACAAAAGCACCCTGTACCGTACAGAAAGAGGGAGAGAGGCGAAAGCACCAGAATACTGCAGCCAAAAAAAAAAAAAAGCTGAACTACCCTGCATGTGTGTGTGCATGAATGAAAATGCTGTTCCATTACAACCTGCTGACTCTACGGCAGCCTCTAATGCTGGCGGGGCAGCTCGAGCCGCTCCCACTGTGCATGCGTATGTGTCTGCTGACTGAAAGATATGCTGATGATATGCTGAGAGCAGTACTTGTGATGCAGGTGCGAGTCCGCCAACTCATTCTGTCTGTGTAGCTGTACCAAGAAATTACAATAAATTAGAAAACTTATAAATAGAAATACTTAATGAGATAGAAGCAAAAATGTACTGCGACAGTGAGGGCAGCGCATTTTGAGTAGGAGTATATTCTGATCTGTTCCTAATATGAATTGTCAGTTATTTTCTTTCAGGATATGTGACGCTAGTTTAGGCTAAACCTAACAGTTGGTTGCTTTGTCTCAGCTTTAACCTGAAGCAAACCACTGTAACATTCACGCAGCTCAGCTTTAATAACGGTTTGTGAAAAGATGCAGCAGCAGAGAAAAGTAAAACTGGAACGTTTGTGTCATTTTAGAGATTTTTGATTTATATTGCCTAATACCTTGTGTTTGTTCTGTAAAACGGTTAACAGATAAAGCATCAGGGTCTACACACTGTTGCAAATAGTTACTTGGAGATTGAAATTTTCCGTTTGAGAGGTCCCGAATGATTTTTCCGAAATGAAAAATCACGAGTGAGTTCCTGTAAATTCCTGTAGTGACACTATCATTTGTTCACTGTATCACCTTTCTGCATTAACAAAATTATAAAAACAGATTACAACAACAGTCACATTATACCTAATGACAAACAGGTGATGAGGGAACAAATTGTATAGTTTCATATAAACTATGTTGTTGTTTGTTTGTGTATAAAATTCTGGGTTTCAACACATTCAAACCTTTCACATTTAATCAGACATAAAGTCTCGAGGTTACTTAATTTCTGGCATGTAAGTGTGCAATCCGAACACAAATCACTTTCCGAATTTCCTGACATCTACTGTCATAGGTATTGTTGTCCCTTTGCGATAAATATATATATTTATATATATATAGTGTTTAAAAATGAAAGTTTACCAATTGAAAATGAAAACCCATGTTGATTTGAACTGTACACAAAAATAATAGTTAATGATAAAATATAAAACATGACCTTGGGACTAAGATCCACAAGCAATTAAGGTTTGACTTCTCATAAAGTGCTTGTTAAAAAAGAAAAAAACATTTTGTATTTTAATGTATTGTAGTTCTTGGCTTTTGTGTTTTCTTCCTCCTGGTCTTTCGCTGGTGTCCCCAGAAAAGTGCTTTGGTTGTGAAAAAGTCATCGACCATTTCTAAGTCAAGAAGGAAACTTCTTTTACATCAGCTTCTTCATTGTCCGTGAAAAGAAAAAAAAAAAGAAAAAATGAAAACGGCTGATTATCAGTCAGAGCTGAAATCAGGAAATCCTCATGTGAACCAATGCGAAGATAAAGAGAGGTGACAATGGCTGCAGATGCACAGTTTCTGTAAATATCTGTGCAGGAACTCCAGTTTCTCCAGTCTGTCCACAGACTCATACTAAAGTGTACCTGTACAGGTGGGTGTGTTGGGATGTGTGTTTGTGTGTGTCTGTACTGTAGTGTGAGAGAGTTGGAGTCTGCTACACCAGGTTCTCGATTCCAGGCAAAGGCTGCTGTATTGGCACAGGCGGATCCGTGCTGCCGGCCTGCTGGGCGAGCTGCAAGACGGGCATGTTGCACAGCGGGCACACTTTCCTCACCTCCAACCATTTGATGAGGCACCTGGAAGGAAGAAAAAGCAGTGAGCACACATTTAAAGCAGAGATTAGTGGGCGGTTGTGGCTCAGGTGGTAGAGCGGGTTGTCCTCCAATCGCAAGGTTGGTGGTTCGATCCCCCGCCCCTCGAGTGGAAGTGGACGCGGACAAGACACTGAACCCGAACGTGCTCCCAATGGCAGGTGTGTGAATGTGTGTGTGATTGGGTAAATGAGAAAAACATTGTAAAGCGCTTTGGAAAAAAGCACTATATAAGTGCAGACCATTTAGGAGACTCCAGAGTGCAAAAAATGTAAGCTATTTAAGCTCACTATTCTAGCCTCTACTACTCTAAGACACAGACAACACTTCTTGTTGGAGTTGCTTATTAGAGACAAAAACATCAAGTCCACATACATACACAACATAATGTGTCCTGTATTCTGTTAATTTTTGAAATAATTTTGCAAATCATAAAAAATATGACACACCAATTGATATATAAAGCAGCAAAGACATAGCAAAGATGCTATGCTAATATAGAAAAGGTGCAGCCATTACATCATGCGTCCACCAGCCGACACTATACAGTTTATCTTTGAATTGTAAACTCTCCCACTTGGTTCACCATCTTGGACACAATTTGAAAGCCAAATTGAAGAGAACCTTTCAAAAGGGCGTGTTGTATTTGTGATGTCATCCTTGATAGCTACTCAAAGCCCAACAAATCGTAACTGAGGGTTGAAACCATTGACTGCGCATAATGAAGGATGAATCCTCCATTGCATCATCCTCAGGCTTCCTGAAGAGCAGTTTTGAGGCTCAGTGTAGTGATTCTAGCTGTCACCTTCTTAGCAGTCCCTAACTCCTCCTAAGTCCCAGCTAATCCAAAAATGAGCCAAGTTGTGCGTAAGTGGAACTGAGGCAGACCATGCAAATGTCTCTGGGCCATGGACTGTCCTATGATGACATCACCTGTCACTCAAAGTGGTCACGCCCTCAATCATGCAAAACTTTAAGCCTTAATACAATTTAAGCGAGTGAGTTATGCAATAATTCACTCCCCGTAAGGTCATCATGATCAAGGACTTTAGCTATAAAGAGGTTTTTGTACCAGGGCGTTTATTTCTGATGTAAAATTTGGCATTTTAACATCGGAAGTCTGTGAAAGTTGAAGCACTTCGGAGCCTTGAGTGGTCATTTGAAGAACTGCCACAGCAGGTTGAAATGCAGATCGACAGAAGCGCTGCCCTCTGGCTCAACTGCTCAATGCCTCAGATTGAGACTACAATGGAGCGTATATACATAATAAACAAGTAATCAATTAATTCAGAATAAGTTTTAAATAGGCTCTGAAGCACTTTCTTTATGTTTTCGAGTTTATTTTTCTGTTTTGTACACATGTAATTACAGCGACTGCAGGACTGAGTGTTTCCAAAATGTAGGTGACAGACAGTTCAATACTGAGTCTGAGAGCCTGCTGTGAAAACTCTGATGGAGCTTTTGAGCTGCTCTGCTTTAAACCTCTTGTTAGAAGTTTGCTTGGTTTTATATGATTTAGCACCCACAGGGTTTTTTTCCTTTATAGTTTGTGTCCTTTGTCATCATTTGTAAAAAGATTCTGAAATACATAACTTATCTGATATCCATTTTCTCTGTAAAACAGCATGCCTTTACTTGTACACATGCTAAAAGCAGTGTATACACAGAGGATTCAGTGAGTGGTCACCACTCTGGCTGCAACTGGGGGGAAAAAACTAGGCCAAGGGAGGTGTCATGCTGATATAAACAACTCAGTTGAAATGGTAGGGCACGGGGGGAGGTGTCTGGCTCAAGCAATCCATCGTGTCCTGTGGAGTTCCTCACTTCAAACACAGTTGGCTTCACTTTCATGTACCAAAATATATAATTATGGAGCTTTTGTTATTGTCGTCTTACGCACTAACACACAATCCACCGGTGCAATGACTTGACAATAACTTGTTTACTTTAGTCTCTGCCGTGTGTTTTTAAAAAAACATGTTCACATCGACTGACTGTGTATAACTACGCCGAAGAGCACGTCAGGATGCATGGAAATGATCTGTTTTGTTAGGGAAATCTTTACTGATCCATGCCCTTGACTTTGTTTGTCCACTTGTGTGCATGTGTCCACAAATGTCAACAAAACCTTATACTCACTTTCTATGAAAGGCATGTTTGCATGGACAAATCCCCAGCTCATCTTTCTGCTTGAACTCCTCCAAGCACACTGCACATATCTGAAAGAGAGAGAGGGAGCTTGTGAGAAACTTTCTGTATAGACACATGTAACAACTTTTAATTTGTTGGCTGCTCTCTGCTTTTCGGTTGTGTCAGTCTTAATGTGAGCTTTGTGTTGGATTGGAAACAAACTATGCAAACAGCAAAGGTCAAGCACACATGGAAAAGGACAACTGTGGCCAACATCTGCAGAAAACCACGCTGACACAAAAACAGAACGGTATCTAACCAAATGTGTTGTGTTATATAAGTTTGACTAAACTCGCTCTGGGGATTTCAGCTCAGTTAGTGGCCTGAGGCTACCTTTTAGAGACAATGTTTTTTCCCTATTCAACAGAAAACCTGCCATCACTGTGATAGAGTTGAAAGGTCAAGTTTTCCAGCTTTTGTTTTCAAGGTACAATAGTCAGAAAGATTTTCAGTATAGTCAGAGCCACAACAACTGACAAGAAAATTGGTGCATATCAAGTCCAGAGACCCAACGAAGGAAAACAATTTACCAAAAGATCGGTTTGGTAACCAGGGAACATTTGCCAGGGCACTTATCTTTCTGTCCTTGTGGTCCAACTGGCAATGCAGGAGGCCACCATGTGTATCAGTGCAGTGGAAAGCCCACAGGCCTCCCTTTGCTTTGGCTCTTGTACAGTGTATGAACACCAAGGAGCACATGTCACACCATGTGCTACACGGATACTGTAGCAAATGATGCAAGGTGGTACAGCATATTTATGTAACACTTACTATCAAGACACCTGGTTATGTTCAAGACTTTCTCAATCAGTTTACAAATTTGTTGTTTACTTTTTCTAGAGTTTCTTATGTCTTAAGAAGTAAAGCCAATCTTCTTATTCAAAGAGCACGTTGTCTTTAGCAAACCCTACCATGTCAACAATAATTAAGAATTTATCAAGTGTTCTGTTAAAAGTATCAACACCAACTGAAATCACTAAGTTAAAAAGACAAGGACAAGAACTGGCATTTAGCAAATCTTGTCAACAGGTTTGTCTGTAGGAATCAGCAAATGATCACGCTGCTGACCACACAAGTGTGAACCTCTAAATAGAACGAATTTCAGGCTAGTAAAAAGAAAAACACTGACCACACCATGCCCTCAAAATCAGCTTTTTCAAGAGCCAGCAATGACAAATACAACAGTGTACAGGAACTTCAAACTGTGAGAAAACCGAAAAATCTGCAGAAGCGAGTAAACTGTTAGTCTATTTAACATTCATCCAACCACGGGGTAACACGCTCATAGTAGAGGGTTTTAATTTGGCACTCTCTTTTTGGCTGTCTAACCCCTCAACTGCTACTCCTTTAGCCACACACATTTTCTTCGTCTCAGTTCTATTTTATTGATGGTAGACGGACAACTACGGACAAAAAGAACAGTATGGGGGCTCTTAGCTTTCTGTCCTGAGGAGTTTTAGACACAGAATAATCCTCTGTGTAGATGTCTGCCTTGCTCTCTTTTTTGGTGAATAGATCAATGTTTTTGTTGGGGTTTTTTTCAGTTCTTGTCTGCGGTGTCACGATCACAGCTGACATCTGGCACACTGTGCCAGCTTCTGACAGAGCCTATTTTTCCCCACTGTTACGGAAATTAATCCTGTAAGCCTTAGTTTTAACAGTCCACACAAAACACATGGACTTGGTTTTAGGAAAAAAAACGACAAAGTGAAAAAGAACATTACAGGAATACAGACCTATGTCTCCCAGACTATTATAATCAATATTGCTGCCAGAAACAAATCAGCATATTGTAAACACACGTATAAGAACAAAATATGTTGTCAAGAAGAAATACGTTGTAAAGTATGTATATAAAAGCTTCATCCACAAAACATGCAACAAAGGGATTAAAATCAAGAGTTAGTGAAAAGAAGAGAATAACCAAGGCTCAGAAGAATCCTCAAAAGCAATTTATGAGAAAAATTAAAATAAACACAAAGTAGTGTTCATTTAATCAAAGTAAACTATGATAAAAAAGTATTAATGGCCAAACTATTTCTTATGACAACAAATCTAAACAAAAAGCAAACATTAGTCCTCACCAAATGAAAGATGAACAATAATGTTAGAGACTTGTGAATGGACAAATGAACCAAACACCATTTTAATAGTATATCTTATTCAGTAACATGCAGCATGTGGAATTACACACTGCAGCTGCTGATGAAAAAAATAAAAAAATAAAAAAATAAATAAATCCTCTGCTGCCCAGAAAACCTACTGGTTAGTAGATTAATCTGTTTGACCTGATGTATTGCTATTGATATGAGGCTCCTCGCTCTCATTAATGTGTCTATCAGTAACGTTATACGACATTACCAGTTCTTGAAGAAAAAAAAATGTATGTACTAAAATAATTCGCAAAAAACAATAAGAAGTGAAAACAAAAGCAGCTGGGACAAACTGCGAACCAGAAAGCAGCAGTCGAATTTACTAAAAGCAAAGTTAATGTTAATCTAATACAGCTTTGTGGATGTATTGTTGCTTTTAGATGGATATCTTTAATGTTGCTGTCAGAAGTAATGAGTAAGTTTTAGGAATAAAAATGGCACTTGATGTAACGCTTCCTTTAGATGCTCACTAAAGACATCCCGTTGGATAAATGCATTAATGCTATCCAGCCTTTTAGCATCTCTTCCAAAGCTAAACCTAGACAGTAAACAGGATATTACCTAAGCAGTAATGCTTCGTCAATCATCTCTTTCTAGAAGGATGTTGCTGCTCTATATTGGAGCAAACAGGTAGCTGTGGTGATGCTAATGCTAGCTGAGCAAATGTAAAGCAATTAAAAAGCACTATCATAGTGCCAACACCCCAAACTTTCTACATACAGTACAACGCTGCTTCAGCTCTCCCTTGTTATCACAGTAAGTAAATGGTTTAAACAGACAATTGACTGAAAAGATACAATGAATGGCGCACTGGATGCATTTTTGGTGTTTAACACAGTTAATATCTTGAAATTACCTTTTCACAAAGCATCAGTCTAAAATTAAAGAGGAAGAACTGGCTGACAGTATTTCCCAAATATAACATGGCAGAACTATTGCCAGGACTTTAGCCTAATCTAATACCAAATACCTACTGTACGGCTTTTACAAATTGTCAATAAATGGCTGGCGTCGTCATCATCATCATCACCATCATCATCACCATCATCATCATCATCATCACTGATACAGACATTTTTCAATGTAATCATGAATATGTTGTGTGGGCTATTTTCTGCATTGTCACCATGGTGCATATCCTGATTTGGAAAAATAAAAATAAATTTAAAAAAAAACCTCACAGCTAAACTGGCACATTTTAAGCTCTCTTTATACTATACAAGTTAATCTCCACTTACAACATAATGAGCTGCTATCTTAGTAATACAGACACTTTAAACACAGATTGTGGTTGCAAATAGAATGAAAGCCACAGCGCATTTCCCTGATACTTTGCATGCGTACAAGATTGTGCAAACATTTTGGTTCTTTATCCATCACACAGAACAAGTCTGGCTGGTAGCAAATTCTTTTGGCAACATGACAACAACCCCCAAAATACAGCCAGAGTCATAAAGAACTATCTTCAGCAATAAGAAAAGCATGGAATCCCTACAGACCTGTGATCTCAACAACATGGAGTCAGTCAGAGACTATATGAGGAGACAGAATCAACAGATACAGCCTAAATCCACAGATGAACTGTGCCAATTTCACCAAGATGAAGTACCTCAAAAAAAAAAAAAAAAAAAAACTGTGTGCAAGTATATCTGGATGAATGTGTGCTGTTTGAAAGACAAAATGTGGTCACACCAAATACTGAACACATTTACCCCCATTTACTGTCATAGCATATATTTTTTTCAAAGTACTGTATATTTGGTCCACATTATTAATAACCAAATACAAGAATGTTCTATAAACCATGAGATAACCTTGGTCATTGGCGTCTGAACGTTTGTAGTAAAAGCTGACCTGTGCATTTGTACGTTACTGCAGGTGTTTAAAAAAAAAAAAAAAAGTTGGAAAGATATTGCTGGTTGACACACAGCAGCATTACTTTCATGTAACACTGTATGACATGAATTCTTAACATTGAACATGAATTATTTTTAAATACAACACACAGAGCTGTTAAATAGAGATGGGGTCAAAGTCATACCTAAAAAAGAGCAGCAATCTAGGATGGCTGGTCAGGTTACACATCAAACAAACTTGAACAGGAGTTGACATGTAAATTGATCCCATATAGCATTCCTATTCTATATAGTATATTCCATTAAAATGTTGAGATTGAATTCAAGCAACTCAGGCAACACTCATGCCTCCAGGGTGATTCTTTGGTGTGGGAGCCTTCAAAACTGGGTCATCCACCCATGCGCGCGCGTGTGTGTGTGTGTATTATTGTCCTTAAACAAACGCAGCTTGGTTATTCGGTCACAGACTTCACTTACATGACACACTTCTGATGTTTTCTCTCAGTTTCTAATAACATAAACAATAAAAAACCTGAAGCCTGATGGGACGCTGGGAAATTCCAGCACTGCTGACAAGAAACCGTGTTCAGCCCTGCGCCAAAGCACACATGAAGATGCTATTGTTGACGTTTCATTTGAATCGCAGTGTTAAAGGGATGGTGCTCTTGGCTGGGGAATACCATTTCTCCACTGCAAAGCCTTTGCTGCTGCTTTACTCACTGTTCACTGCTTGTAATTTTCCAACCAAGCTGAACTGACATGCAGCATTATGTAACATGGTGGGCAGGACAGTCATGATTTAACCACAAGAGGCTGTTTTCACATGACAGTGAGTAAAGACTGATGTCAGATGACAAGCACTGTACATCATCATTGTTGCCAAATAGGACAAAACGTCAAAACCAGACACAAAACCCTGAGGTGTACAGTACTGTTGCGCAGATTGTGAATCCATCACATTGCACCCTAAGGTGTTCAGACCCTGTACACATCAGCGCCTGATGCACATTGCAAAATCTGTGAGTTTGTATCATTTGAAAACTGTTATTGTCCATCTTGAAGCTGAAGACCTTTATGTTTATAATGATACATGAGTTTTGAGTCCCAGGACTTAGCACTATATGTAGAGAGAAGGTACAGTACATTAGGAGTTGCCAAATCCCTTCACAGCAAAGAGGAAGAAACCAGAAAAAGGAAGTAATCTAAGCAAAAAGTACATTGTGGCTGCCCAACTGTTAGACGTAGGAGCATGTGCCTGATAAGTTCAATTAATGTTTATATTTCAGTACAGTCGGGGTTTTCTTACAAAGAGAATTTTTTTTGGAACTCCCAAAATATTTTAGCCAGCACCAAAATGATAGGAAAGTTGTTGTTTTTTTTCACCAGTTTTGGCAATTATGTTGTATTTACTCAACCTTAATCAACATGTTTATTTATTAAAAGGTCAGAAATGCATTATTTTCTGTCAAATAAGTTTATACACACTCATTACGTTTATTGTTTGTAAACAAAGGCTCATTCTGAGCCCGGAAAAACCCTGACAGTGAATACATGTCAGGCTGCACTGCAGAATGCCTACGAAATAAGAGTTAGGAAATTTGGGGACTTTTGGGTAAGAAAAAAAAAAAAAAAAATGGGTGCTTACCTCATGCAAATTTAACTCTTTGACTTTTTCCTTCTGAATGACCTAAAAGGCATAAAAGATAAGGAAAGATCAGTCACTTGTTAACATTGTAATGAGATAACAGCAGTATTTGTGGAAAATGCAATAAAATACTGAACACAAAAGAATGTGATGAAAAATTAGCCAGTCAGCATGAGCTCGAATAAAGGACAAATGATAAGATGTGCAGTAACACAGCTGCTAACACAAATGCATGTGTGTGTGTGTGTACGCTATATGCGGTTGATGGTCTTACATAACCCTGAGAGGAGTTGGACACATGAAAGTTTTTAGCTGGCAGGTAGTAAAAATGTACAGTCAAAATCACAGAGGTAATAGTCATCGTAAGAACTACTATACCCATGTGTGTTTGCATGTGTTTAACTTTGACATATTTATGTGTTTTTATAAGATAAGATAAGATAAGATAAGATAAGCCTTTATTTTTCTCACAGTGTTGTCAGCAGGAGTACACACAGAGATACACACATACTAGACAGAAAAATGTACATATAAAAAAACAGGATAACATAAGTAGAAAAATTCACACATAAAAACAATAGTGCAAGCACAAAACACAAAAATGCACATTAAAAATTGATGGCACGTTATATGCTGATATTACATAACTGGAGGACATGACAATGATGTCATTCCCCCCATCTCTCTCTCTCGCACTAGCTTTACAGGCCACATACTCTGCTAGCATGCTCAGTCCAAACTAACTGTGAACGTCATTTGTCCAGCTAAACCAGTTGTTTCCCTTTTGCTTAAATGAAATTCTGGGCTATTGGGAGGGAGTACATGTGTACTTGCCAAAAACCTGTAAATTGTTTTGAAATTAGCAAAATCCACTGGGCAGCATAGCCCATGAAAGGCCTGCTGCTGCCAGAAGAGTGAGCAAATCATTTCATGGGCCAGCTAAGCTGATATTTCAGGAGCAAAGGGGATTTTCATGATTCAATCGAAATACTTTACTGACACTTCATTTCTGCTCAACACTCTGTTATATCCAATTTGAAATTTCTGAGATGTAATTTGTGTGTGTGGGCTCTTACTTGTTTGTATGCATATAGCTCTTTGTGCGCCTGGTGCCGTAACCTGGGGAGACGTAAAGACAAAACATCTTTTTGATTAGTAAGGGACCTCTTTCAAACGACTATATAACATAGATAAACTAGCCACACATCCTGGAAAGGTAAAGAAAAATTGTAAACATAGTTGTAATTACTTTGCGTAATACTTATGCTGATGTACCAGTTAATTTTAGCATATCACTGTTGTAACAAATGGATGTTATTTAAAAAGCAATGTCATAATATCAAGCATATCTTCATAATTTGGCATGCATACCAAGTCTAGCTTTTATAAATGATATATCCCAAAGAGACAGCTAAACAAAGGAAAAGCAGTTGACATTAATGAGAAAAAAATGTTTGGGTTGTGTACGCTCTACATGAGTCCTGACTCAGGCATACTTCACCCCAAACAATTATGAAACTACTGACAAAACAAATATTAACTGGCTTAACCCATTACAGTACATAAGTGAAATATCTCCTGAAACGATACTTCTCCTGAAGTGTTAAATATTTATTTTTTAAGTAATGCAGTAAGAAGCCAAGTTAGATATTGACAGGTATCGTTCTAAACAGGCTTTGAGCCCTGGTTTCTTGTCAAGACAAACACTGGACTAAAGGTAAAATATCAACTCACAACATCACCCAAAATACATTAGATCAGACATTAAAAACATTACTCCAGGTTGTCAAGACACTATACAAAGACTTGCACAACTCCAAGTTAGAAGGAGAGTACTGACAGATACAACCCAAGTTTAAGTTACAAAACAAGTTGGCAAACAGTGAGACAACAGACAAAGCACTGGATAAGGAAAGATTCTAGGTACTGAGAGGGAGAATAACATATGTAGATGTAGGGAAGAAAAAAAAAAAAAGAACAAGAGAGATAGGAGAAAATCATAGGTTTGTAAGATTTACCTCCATTACAAGTAACCTTAACCTCTCGCAGCAGAGTGAGAGGGATCTGTAAAACAAGCAGCACAGTCTAGGAGAGAAACTGACATTTTGAAAGAGGTCAGCAGGTAAAGGTGCAGAGACTCCCAAGGGCAGGAACAAGGGTAAATGGGTCATGGGTGACTAATGGGGGCTTCTCAGTGGTGCTGAAGTACAACATAAAAGTTGGCAAGGACAATAACTGGCTTAAATATAAAAAGAGGTGTCCAGTGTGACCATTGTTTTAAATCTGTCTTTACCATAATTTCACTGCAGTCAGTGGCAGCTACAAATGTAAAGTATCTGTCATTAAAGTCTCAAAAATAGTTTACTTTGCAGCACATAATTTCACTGAACATGCATGAGCAGCGACCGATTGTTATCCACTGCAGTGATGACTAACTTGTAGACTGTTCTGGGTTATTTTTGCATTTATTCACTTTGCACATTCATGAACCTGTAGTGTTCATGTGAATGAACTTATGTTCATTCTTCGTATTTGACACGAGTGTGTGTGGACTCGAGACTTACTGAGAGAGGTGGTTGAGCGTTTCTGTGAGAGTCTGCCTTGTGTCAAAATACATGGACATGTTTGTCTATGCTGGAATGTCACATGTCAGTGCTAACATGCCACTTCATTGGTTTCTTCGTTCCCCTGGCCATGAAAACAACAGCCATGACACTTTACAGCACAGACACCACAGGAATGGCTCTTCACTGTGTCATTCGAGGTTTAACTAAGCCTTGTCCGTACCACAGAATTTGTTTAAAAGCTTATTTTTTCCCCTATTTTTTCATGTGACAACATCATAATAGGAATTAAAAATTTCAGAATAGTATATTCATGCTGCATGACAGTACATAAAAATCAACTAATTTTGGGCTAGTCCTTTGGGAGACTGCATCTTTAGAAGCCTTTTATGGAGCAAAATTGCTCTGTTTGCCTTTAAGGACTAAACCTGGCAAACTTGATTTTCAGTGTTGAACCATGGTACTGCATCAAAGTCATAAAGTGTCTCTTTACATCTAGGTGAGGAATTGTTGGAACACAAGAGTAGTTAATCTACTTACCATTTGCCCTGCAACATAGGATATGACAGGATGGCGAGGGGAGAATTTTTGGGGAAACTGCTGCTTCTCACTGTCTTAGATAAAAAATGTTGGGCATTATTTCCGTTAAATTTGCTGCTGCCAGGGGAAAACCTGGCAGCAACAGCAGCTAGGACAATTAATTAGACCAGTGGGGTTATAAAAAGGGGCAAAAGAAAGACTAGCAAGTGGTCTTCACCTTTTTAGCACTTTTCTACCTCAGTGACACTGAAGCGCTTACAAAAGTTCCAATTCACCCATTAGCTCCGACTACTTTTTCTTTTATGAGAAGCAATACTGGATTACACTCAAGACTCAGTGCCTAAAAAGGAGCTTTAACAATATGCATATAAATTCTTACAATCAACATAACACCCACGTGAAAGTTTAATGAATATCCAATTATAGCAAAATAAATTAACATGGAATATGGTAAAGACACTAAGGAGGTGAAGACCCTTGGAAAAACTGTACTATAATTTGTTTCTTTGACGCCAAGTGCCATGATCATAATAAAGTAGATAAGCCACTTTGATCTCAGCAGATTGCTGCTATTTTTCTTATCTAATCAGATGAGGAAGCTGCCAATTGTAGTATGAGCAATACCTTCTCCAAACTGTGCTGTTGAAACATTTTGCCCATTTGTCAAAGGACTATGAGAAAGGCAAATTCAAAAACACATTTCAGGAAGAAAAAGATAGTCTTTTCATTCAGCCTTGTGACAAGTGCATACAGTGTGTTCATTATAAAGTAAATGGTTATTATCATGTAGCTGTTTTGCATAGACAGGTAACTAATTCTGGGTGCAGATATGTTTAGAGCTGAACTTCACTGTAGCATTTCTTCTTTTCCAAATCACTAGCTATAAATTAACCTTTAGTCATTACATTATCAAACATCAGTACCTGTTAAAGTGTCCCCTTTATGCACAAATATGGATAAAGCCACACTGAAATTGTATGAGGACCCTTCTGAACAAATAATTCATGAGCCAAAGAGACCTGAAGGATGTGTTATGAGGACAGTTGCATAATGACAGTCTGTGAATACTAACATTGAGCTCTTATGACAATTTTCAGATCTCAGATAGGTAGTGATGCTGACAGTTTGCTAGTCATAAGAGATACACCATCCTAAAAGCTATCATGGTCTTCCAAGTTTGGCTTCACAAAACTTTTTCTTTTTTAACAAAGCTATGTGAATTCTAAATTATAGTTGCACATGTAAATTTCAAATGTGTTGGTTAAATGTATAAGAATTAGGTAACAATGGTTAAAATTTGCTGTTCGGTTTAAATTTGTATATGAATGTGTAGGACAAGCAAGTCTAGAAAAATCTGTAGCCAGCGTTGTGTTGTAGCCAGATTAATGATCTGTTGCACCCAGTAGTGTTGCCTGGTCACATAAAGCTCTGTATGACACTTTTTAGCCACAAACCCACATGGCAAAGCGACTACATACACAATAAAAACATCTAATCCTATTATAAAACAATGCTCATTTGAAAGGCTCTTACCTTATTAGGTAGCAGCAGAAGAGGAGGCTGAGGATGAAGACAAAGATGGCGGTCCCAAACACCACAATGTAGATGTTAAGTGGAAGGTTCTGGAACCCTATATTTGGCATCCTGAAACTGTAGTGCGGGAAATCGGAGCTCATGGATATTCTGGATGGAGGGAGAGAAATGACATGCAGTAAGTAACTACTTTAACACACAACACACCCTAAAAAAAACACATGGACTAAGAATGAAACAACATTAAAGGAGTCAAAAGAAAACTGGAACTAGGGGTCATGTAGTTCCACTTTGAAACGGGGTTTCCATGGCACAGTAGCCTTTAGTGCCAGAGAAATGTGCATCAGGGCTTTTGGTTTCGCTTTTGGTTTGGTTTATTTTAACATCTTGAGTTAGATTAGGCTTTATCAGTCCTAACAGGTTCTGAAGTTATAAAAAACTGGGCACGTCTGTGTGTGTGTGTGTGTGTGTGTGTGTGTGTGTCACACTCCCTCAGATACGACAGAACAAAGGACAAGCACTTAGAATGATAGCATATATGATAGGGATTTATCTGAATACAGAAAGGCTATTTAGATATTTAGATATGAACAAAAAATCCCTCCTGAAAAGGGATTCAGCTTTGAAGCTTTTCAAAACAATGAAAAAATACATTTAAAAAATCCTACAGCTTATCACAGGTTTACAGTGATAAGCTGTATGGCAATATTCTATACACACATTCTTTATATTGCATGATATTTATGATATATGCTGTACTGTCAATTTATAGGTAACCCTTGCCAAAAATAATCCAATATAACATTCCAGCCATAAATCATTTTGGACGTGTTTTTGAACTGTAATGTATTATACAAAGAGGTGCTTTTACTATTTCACCACCATGCAGTCATATAAAATGAGACATAATAATGCATTTTCAAAAAACCTGTCAGTCTTGTGTAATAGAATTCAAAAGTACCAGGAGAAATTGGTTCACACATGCTGTGGCAGCTAGTGTGCATGTTATGATATTGGTTAGTTGGTTCAAGATGAGTGTGTTGCTCCCACAGACACCAAAAATGTTTAAGAAAACCCCTGTAAGCTGTGGAAAATATGCATGCTTCTCCTTTATTTCCTCTCTCCCCTAAATAATGAGCACATTGCCACTGGTGCACAGCTAATTTACAACACTCCTGCATGACAGTTTGCTTAATTAAATTTTCATCTGCTCATATTTTCTGAGAAATTCTTTAAAAATCTGATTGATAAAAGTTAAGATAAGCTGACAAGGATCTTTTGGTCAACTGCTCCCACTCAGTATACCAAAGGGACATGACGAGACATGTCTTTGCTCACAGAAGAGGAGGAGGAGGAGAGGACAGGAATAACTTTTGTTCCTTTTGGATCCCTGTCTTGTGCCCCTCCCTTTCCCAAACAGCTCCATTCCTCTATGCTCCTCTAGTGGAAAGTTTTGTAGGTTTTGCTGAAGCCACTGACAATCCTCTGCTCAGGATCAACAGGACATGTTCACCCAAAAGCCCTCTCTCTATTAGCGCTCTCTATTAAACAACAGAAGGCTCTCTGTGTGGGAAACACTAAGTTAGTTTTAGTCAAAGAAGCCTTTATATAACATTACTATGCCTACTAGTTACGTGCCCACTACTACGCCTGGGTGCCTAAATCCAGAGCCCCCCATGTCCCCTATGCAAAAGTTGTTGGCACTGTGTTGCTATTTAAAATATATTCACCTCTCTCTAGCTTTACGCAATAGCAATGTTCTTCCTAAGACACCTGGCTCATGATATCAGAGGACAGGGTGACAGGGTGAAGGAACTTGAAGTTCTCTTTCTAACACTGTGATTTTATAATTAGTATGTTAAATGTACTTTTAAAAAAATGGACTGCAAGGCTATAAGATCGAGGTTTTACATCATAAACCAAGAGAGTTCTGACTGTACAGAGCACATGTAGGAGGCGAGGAAAACAGATGAGGGTAAATGTCACCAAAATTGTTCTTGGGACTAACAGCCAGATTAAGCCTGAGCGATACCTTAGAGTCGTCTTGTGCAAATTTAAATTTCACTGTGTATGGTCAATCTGTAAACATCACTGTAATGTATTGCTGATTTGGCCCAACAGAATCAAAAAAACTGCCTTGAAAAACAGTGTCATTGTAAGTATTGTGAGTTACAAATGCTAGCTGAGGACAGCATCTGCCACAAAGGATAAATCTTTTGCTGGGACAAACAGCTTAGATAAGGAATGACGTTTGTGTGCTGCCTTCATGAAATGGCAGATGAGAGGGGACTAAACACAAAAGCTATAGGGCTACTGTCAAAACTTTATTCAACAGTTCATACAAGGAGAGAGGGAATTGTTGACACAATCCACAGGAATGAAAAACTTGCGATTATAGACAACTGTTTTTTTTTTTTACTTGACTTCAGCACATTGTGGATGGAGCCCGTTGCAATGAAATTAATGAAGCTCAACTGTAACCAAAAGAGCCACACCCTTAAGGAAAATGATGAAATATCTTCCCTCTGTCCAGATATATTAGGCCCACATGCAGTTGTTGCTGAGAACACTGTGCATATCTAAGAGTGAGTAAATCATTGTTTATATATCAAAATAGCAAGGTGTAATTTTCGAAAACAGGACATTTTATCCACCGATTTTGCGAGCTAACGGAACTTCCTGTTTTGACAATTTAATCAGATTTGATAAGCCATGCAATAGCATCCTTAAGATAGCCCTTTGTTGTCCATTTTAAGCCTCCATGCTAATCTAAAGCCCTGCTGTGTCCCCGTCTTTCCCTCCAAACACAGCCCAGACAACCTCCCCTTACTTGTGTAAACGCAAACATGCTTCAGAGCTACATGCCTTTAAATCAAACCTCTGGAAATACTTGAAATCAACAAGCTTCACATTTTATTCTTGACAATAGTAAGTAATCTTATGCACTCTATACATAGTTGGAATAATTTCATATGAATCACATGGTGACACAACAGAGTGAACACAAAATAGTTTAAACAAGGAGAAGTCATGCTGCCCTCCCAACAACACTACAACCACATTACTATGTCTTATTTTTTTCTCATAGAACGCACACACATAACATTCACATACCCAAGCGGTGCCTTCATGCTGACAAGCAGAAAAGTCTGCAATGATCTGCCACACATGCCTTTTAAAACTGACATGACTTGTCCTTGAGAGCCCAGTGAGTGGGTTGCCTCCTGCTGACTTGTTTGGATCATAGCCCTTCCTTGCCCCGTTCGTAAAGGCTTCATACTAATCCCAAGACCTCCACTCTGACTCCTTTTGGTGTCTCTCCCTTAGCAGAGCCACACAACCTCCCCCTGTTTATCTGAATGCACAAACATGCTGCACAGCAACATGCAGGTACACAAACACCTCCGGAAAAAATCTGAATCCAACACTCTGATAAAGTAGATAATTACGTTAGAACAGAGATCTCCAATAACTATGTGGAAAGAATCTCTGCAATGTTCATGTTTTTTCAAATTGCTCTGTATCATAAAGCAAATATGTTTTCTGTATAAATATATTCAATAGCCTGATAATCTATGCTGTAGCAGTACTATGTCCAGTAAAGGGTTGACTCCTGTGCTGTAATAAAATGCATCTCCTTTGGCAACGCAGCAACAGAAGGATTGCCCTAACGTTCACCACAGAAGCATAAATCAACCTTTACAGTGTCAGGGACATACAGAGGACAGCTATGTGGGTCAATCAGCTGGTAAGAGTTAAGTATGTGGTAGTATGTCATTGCAGGGGATCACTGCAAATACAGGTTAGACTGAATGACAGATTTAAAAAGTCTTTCCCTCTGCACCATAAGGCTGTGTCCTTCACTGTGTGCAACACCCCTTCAGTATCAAGATTCGCTGACCGGGAGGGTCTTGGGTACATGAAGTGATCTTACCCCTTTTGCAGTCAACAACCCACATACCTCGAAAATATCTTTGAGGTGTCACATCCTCAACACATAGGGGTCTATTAAAAAATAAGTCAATGTGAACTGCTAACCAGCCACTGGAAGGGGATAACAAATTCACCAGTAAGAACAGAGAATACTGACAGAAATTCAATAATATAACAACATACAACTGATGTGAATACCAGTGGGAGGACAGTGTTCTCTATCACTATCACCAAAACAATACATAAGGGAATACCTCTTGGAAGAATGTGTTAGTCCTTCAAGTAGAGGTCAACAGATGTGTACAGTCTACACCGATTCCCACTGAAGCAGCCAACAGCTATTACAACAGATCATAGACTGTATAAAAGATGGACGTAGCTACCGTGACGTCAGCCGTTGGTTTCTG